AAAAAAAAAAAAAAAAACAAACCCATTGCCGTCGAATCGACTCCAACTCATAGCCAACACTGTAAGACAGAGTGGAACTGTCCCATAAAGCTTCCGAGGAGCGCCTGGTGGATTCGAACTGCCAACTTTTGTGGTTAGCAGACGTAGCTCTTAACCCCTACAACACCAAGGTTTCCCTATACTGGTTTTTGTGTATGTATATATAACTCACATATCCCGTTGGAATGCGTGAGTAAGCAGAGGAGGGAGCACCACAGATTATCAGTGTCTAGGGCCCTCACTAGCCGTAATCCGGCCTTGCAAACAATACAGCATCATAAACATCACACTCACACAACAAGTTACGGTTGTCATGTGCTTAAAATTTAAAATTTCTTCCTGGTAAATAAGAACTTTAAGTCTTCAGGCCAGAAGGATCTGGAGATTTGGATGCAGCAAAGACCTAGTACGTAATTTAGTCACAGAAGTCCAAACTAGACCACGAAGGAAATCAGACCTGCTTGGAGAATGCGCTCCACGTGTGCACGCCCGCCAGCCCGGCTAGTATCCTTCCCGCCCCGTCGGAAGGCGCCCACAGCGGCCCGCGGCACTGGCGCTCTGACCAGGACGAGTTAAAGAAAGAGGGCCCTGGAGTCTACGAGAATGTAACACCGCCCCTCAACCACACAACACTACCTTCACGCTCGCGCGAGCTGGGCAATAACCATCCACTCGCGGCGACAGGGCAGCGTCCCCCCGAAGCCCAGCAGAGATCAGCGTCCCACGACCCTGACTAAACACCAACGCGCGCGCGCGGCGGGGCGGGCACCATCCGCGCTGCACCTAGTCCCGCCTTCTCTGCGCGGACGTGGGATTGGCGCTGCCGCAGCCAATCGCCTGTCAGCGCGTTCAGCTCCGGAGGCTTCCGCAAGCTGTACTGACCAGTGGCATTCGGCCTGTGCAGAGACTCCGGCGCTGCGGGGCTGGTCCTACTCCGGGCTGGCCGCGGGGAGCGGGGAGGCGGGTGAGTGGGCACGAACTGGCGCAAGACCTGTGGTACTGCCTTGGTTGGGCAGGGAGCTGCCGGTGGGCCAAGGTCGGCCTAAGGGGGAGAGTGGGTTGCGTCCGCGACGCACTGTCTGAGGCTGTGCCGGCCAAGTGTCCCCTAGGCTCGCCCCCCAAGTCCGGGTCGTCGTTCCACGGCCCTGATGGGCTGTGCAGCTCCGAGAAGAAGGGTGGGGGAGGCGCTGCGGTGGTAGCAACTGCGGCTTTTGCTGAGCTTTCACTGGCCGGGAGCTCCGACTGCCGGGTGAGACTGCCCGAGGCTGTCCGGCAGGCCGGGGAATCTCCAGAGGGGGCTGCTGCTGGCCGCCCCTCTGGAGGCACCGCGAGGGTCGAGCCGAGACTGTTCACTGTCTATGAAATCATTATTTGCCGGTTCTGAAGTGACGGGCTGCCTTCTCAAGCCAACACGCGACGCAGCAGACCTCCTGGGAAAGGTTTTCTGAATTAGAGGAGGAGGGTCGGTACCACACCAGCTTTGTCTTCAGACTGAGAAGGAAATTTTAGGCCTCCTTGGAGCATTTTCTCCGTCCTGTAGAAAGTAGGAAAACTGTCTTGAATGGTGGCATGCTCTAAATATAACTTTAAAAAATAATGTATGACAACAATAAAATAATGTCGGGTAGACAGTGGATGTTTACAGTAGAAGAAAATATTAACGCTTGTGAATTTGAGGCTTTTGCTTCATTTCAATGTAACTTTTCTTTGATGCGTGTTCTTCATGGGTTTTTGGAGCGGGGCATTGTACTTAGGAAACATTTGCTGGATGAGGTTATGAAAAATGTCTCTCTTCCAAACTCTGAAATATAAAGGGTTTTTATTTTAAAGCTGGAGCTATTCCAAATATAATATGGCCTGTTTTCCTTCTCTAATCTCACTGGTCGGTTTATACTGGGATGATAAGTAGTCTTCAGGACAGTTTAAAGGGATTCATAGACCCGACCATCATCATTGAAATAACTGGGAGATATCAGTTCTTTTAGTGTAAAAAGGGAAGGAAAAAACTAAAATAAATAAATAAAAGAAAACTTAAATTTTAGGGGAATTTGGAAGAAACACTGCTGTAAATACCTAATTGCATCACAAAATTGAGAGAGAGGCATTATTTCTTGGCCTTGTAAAATCTCAAACACTTTATGTTAACATCATGACCCTCCTCAGAGGTTTAGTATTTGAAAAGGAGTTACTTGAATTCTGACCACTGAATCTGGCCACTCAAAACAGACTGGCTGAATCAGCTTTGTTTTTTATATTATTCTGTTGATGGTAAAATTAGCTCTTGACTCTTCATTTTACTGTGATGATACAAGAAAATGTAGGTTTTCTCTTACAGTTGGAGTCTTCCTTCCCATTATTTCATTTAGTAAAACATGCTAGAAGACAAGCTTTAAAAGGGATTTTAACTATTTTTTTTCAAAGAGAGCCATAAAATAAGTCGTTTGTTTTCTCATCAAAGTCAGATGTTAAGGATTCTTTACTGTCTTCATCAATATCTGCAAGTAGCATATTTTGCAGGGTGTGTGTGTTCTATTTCAGAACACTAGGAAAAAAATTATCCTAGTAACACAATTATTTTTTCAAGTCAGAATTAGGAGTATCTAGGTTTCCAGTTACATCAGTGTGTTGATTCATTTCATTGATTCCATACAGAGCAAACATGAATGTTGGAGTTGCCCACAGCGAGGTGAATCCAAATACCCGTGTAATGAACAGCCGTGGTATGTGGCTGACGTATGCATTGGGAGTTGGCTTGCTTCATATTGTCTTACTCAGCATTCCCTTCTTCAGTGTTCCTGTTGCTTGGACCTTAACAAATGTTATACATAACCTGGTAAGAATATCACCGTATACCAAACATGTAAAAGCTTAAGATTTTGTTATGAAAAAGACAAACACATGACTTAGTTGTTTTTTTTTTTTGAAACAACTTTATTAAGGAACAATTCACATACCATACATTTACCCATTTAAAGTGTACAATTCAGAGGGTTAGTATATATGACTTAATTTTGAAGAATTCTAATCTGAGATAGAATTTTATTTTTTCTATCACTGTTCAACACTGGGCCCTTTTTCTGAGTAAGGCATTTTTCTCTCCTGATGATTTTATGGAATCCAGAAATAGTAGGTCAGTTTAGCAAAAATTACAAGACACTGTAATTCAGGCTACTGTAATGCATTAGTGAACCAGAATGCTTCAGAAGAAGTAATAAAATTTTTTGGTTAACTGGAGTCTAATGAAAACCTTTAGTTTCAATCCTTGTTAAGTCTTTCTAAATTGTTTAAGTATACTTTCCTGTTTCAGATTAGAAAAGTTGAGCTTAATCATATCTTAAGTGATCCAGGATCTTATAGTACCTTAGCTTTTTCATGTTGAGTATCATTCTCTTGTATTATGTGGTGACTGCAAAGTATCAGAGGTTGGATGGACTCCACTGACCGCGTTATGCAGCCCTGGAAATTGCCTGTTGTTGTTGTTTTAATTCCTGATGGTGCCTTTTCTTGTTTTTAACAGCCTATTAAAGTAGAATGAAAGGGGATAAATTCAGTTAATTGAGAATTTTAATTGAACGAAGAACTTAATAAAGACAGAAAAATATAATAAAAGTAGAATTTTTAAAAATTAGTGTTACTTATTTTATATCTTTTAGGGAGTATTTGAGGTTGACTGGAGGAGGAGAAGGATGATGTAATGGTAGAAATGATAAGTGAATGTCCATTTAGTCTTTTTTATGTGATAGACTTTGGTAGGGCAAATACTATTTGTTATAGCGATTTTTCTGAAATATTTGACGCTAATCACATCCCTTTTATTGCAACTTTTTTCCTTTGGCTTTCATGGCATCATTTTCTCCTAGAGATTTCTGATCTTTATTTCCTTTTGCAGGCTCTTCCTTATTTTTCCTCTCTGAAATGTTACTGTTCACAAGGTTCTTTTATTTCTCTCTTCTCATGCTATCTATTCTACCTAGATTACTTCTTCTATCCATATTTTCAGTTTCTAGCTTTAGAATGATGATGCCCATATTTATATTGCCAGATCACCTTGCACCCTAAACCAAACAAGTACAAATTGAACTCATACCTCGTCTGTCTCTTACAAGCCCTAGTCTGTTCTTCTGACTTTGTTCCTAATTTTATGTAAAGGCACTACTCTGAGCCCAGTTAGCCAAGCCAGATAGCTGAATGTTGAAAATAAAGTGACAGTATAATATGTCATCCACTTTAAGACTTTTGAGAGAAAAGGGAGCTCTACTGTTAATAACTACGCTAGGAGAATAGATGTAAATTAGAACTGTCCCAGGCAAACTAGGACATATGGTCACTGTAAGGATAACTCCTTTCTTTCCTTTATATTCCATATCCATTTAGTCAAAATCCTGACAGTTCTACTGCTTTACTATCTCTCAACTTGATCCCCACTGGCATTGCTATAATTCATACCCTCATTTTCTTCTCAGGTAGATTACTCCAACAGATCAAATAGTCTCCTTGCTACTGTACCCTCTCCCATTCCAAGTTGATAGAGTAATTTTTCAAAAATGCATGTCTGTTCAAATCACACTCTTAAGTCCTTCAACAACTTCGCATCGCATTTGTGGTGAAATCCCGTTTCTTGTGTGGCATACAAAACCAGTTAATAACACTGCAGAGGCAGAAAGGGACACAATCTTATCTCTGCCATCTCCAGACACATACTATGCTCTAACATCTCCAAACATGTTCTATGCTCTAACAGTAATGAAAATCAACTTCCTCTCAACCTTTTTGTTTTGGCTTAGGCTTATTCCACTATTTTAATACCTCTCCCTCCTTTCTGTTCTACCTGGCTGTTTTCTACTTGTCCAGCAAAACTCTATTCAGCTATTCCTCCTCCAGGAAACTACTCAGCTCCTACGCTGCATCTTTTTATCATGTGGTTATCATAGTTTTATAATCAGCCGTTTATCCACTTTTTATTTTCTAATTTCTTTATCTCTATAAATACCTATTTAAATGTTCGCTACATAAATTATTGTTGCCCACTTTCCCTTTCTCCGATGGCATGTGTGGCATTTTAGAAGCCATTCCACTAACCTCCCCCTCATGTTTTCAAGCTGGTTTACCATGATTGAGTCACAGTATATGGCCATGGACAAAGGATAGATAATTGACACCATGTGGGTAAGCAAACTTCTGACTTACTTGCCACACTAAAACCTAACTAACCAACTGTAGATGTAGCAGTTAAGGACTACGGATTTAAGTTTCTTTTAAAGATAGCCTAAATTAAACTAATTAAAACTTGAAATACATACTGAATGCTTTACTGAATGCTTTTAAATGTGGGAAAATAGACCCAGTTGTTACCCTTGGTTTAAAAAAATACTGTACCTTTCTGAACCATACAGTGGAAACTTACAGTAATTTTTTTTATTCAGTGCTACAGTTGAAGGTATTAATGTTTCACAAAATTCTTAGCCCAGCTTTTAAAATAAATGAGAATTCTCTTCATTTTGAGTCAGTAAATATTTATTAAAGGTTAACCATGAGCTGGAGTCCCTGGGTGGTGCAAACAGTTAATGCAGTCACTGCTAACCAAAAGGTTGGCGGCTCAAGTCTACCCAAAGATGGAGCACAGTTCTGCTCTCACATACGTGGGATCCCCATGAGTCAACAGACTTAATGCCAACTAGTACTGGCAACCATGAGCCTACATACTTTTTTTTTCCCTAATTCTTTTGATATGGCCATAAATCATCACTTAAAAAAATTTTTTTTTGTAACTTTTTTTGTGCTTTAGGTGAAAGTTTACATAGTAAATTAGTTTTCCAGTCAATGATTCTTACACAAATTGTTCTGTGACATTGGTTGCAATCCCTGCAATGTGTCAGCACTCTTCCCATTTCCTCCCTGGATTCCTTGCTTCTATTGGTCTCATCTTTGATTTTGGGCAAATGTTGCCCTTTTGGTCTTGTACAGTTGATTGTTCTGAGAAGCACGTTCTTCACGAGTGTTATTGTTTAGTTTATAACCCTATCTATTATTTGGCTGAAAGATGGCCTTTGGGAGTGTCTTCAGTTTCAAGTTAGAAGTTTGTCTTAGGGCAATAGTCTCGGGATGGGGGTGTGTTTCCTGCAGTCTCTTTCAGACCAGTAAGTCTGGTCTTTTTTTAAACTATTATTTAAATTTTGCTCTACGTTTTTTACCCATTGTAACTGGGACCTTCTATTGTGATCCCAGTCCAAGTGGTTGGTAGTGGTAGCCGGATACCATCTAGTTCTTCTGGTCTCAGATTAAAGGAGGCTGTGGTTCATGTGGGCCGTTAGTCATTTGGACTAATTGCTTCCTTGAGTCTTGGTTTTCTTCGTTCTCCTTTGCTTCAGGCAGGAAGAGACCAGTAGTTGCTCCTTAGATGGCCACTTGCAAGCTTTTACAATCCCAGATGCTACTCACCAGGCTAGGATGTAGAACATTATCTTTATGAACTGTCTTTTGCCAGTTGACCTACATCACTAAAATTTTTATATAAAAACTACTAAAAATAAATGTTGAGGTGTAGAAGACATATGGTCAGATAAGATTTTATTTTTTATACCTGAAAAAAGATTCATAAAATGAATGGTTTGATTATTATAAACACTGGTAAGTGCATGTGGTTTGAAGGAAGTAGTGAGAGGATTATCCTTGGACAGATTCTGACACATACATAGTCTATATATTGCACTATAATAAAGTATTTTCAATAAAATTCTGTGCAAGCACATAAGCAGGAAATTAATTATTACTAGCAAGGAGGGTTTCACTAAGGAGTTGTCATTTGAGCTGAACCTTTAAGAATGAGGTAGTTGTCAAGGTGGCATCAGGGCTTTTGCCTAGCAAAGAGCAACCTCCCTCCTCTCTATTTCCTGAGCACTCTTATTGTACCTTTGATGGCAGTTTCTGCCCTACAGTCTAGTTGTATATGCATGTCTTTTTTTTAATCTTACCTGCTCTTGGAAGATTGAACTTTTTCAAGGCCGGGGCCATGTGTTCAATTCCATACATGCATACATGTCTTATGCCCTGTACATATAAGCCACTTATTAAATGTTAAGTCCCATTGAACACGATTCCATTCCTCCATACCTTAGTTGTTACTGCAGCTAAACAACTTTTGAATTGCCTCATAGAATAACTAAGGAGTAAACTTTGAAAGGAAGGGCTCCCTTAACCTAATATAATATTATAAAATTTCAAATTCACTAACTTTTCCATTTTTTCCGTATATTTATTAAAAGCAAAGAGAAAAAATGACATCATATCATGGCTTCTAGAGGGAGAACTATTTCATGATAACGTTTCAGCTTTATTCTGTTACTAGTGCTTCTAACAGTGATCCTGAAACAAAGCACCATCTATCAATCTCATCATAATCTCAGGGAGACCAAATTTAGTGTACCTTGATTTTTCCTAATTAACCAGAAAATTACATATTTAAACATATCACCTGACAGAATTATTTTTTAACTTTGATTTTTTTAAAACTGACTTCGTAAAAAACACTATTGAGGTGCACTAGTGATTTTAAAAGTGAGCTCTGAGTTAAACATTAAACCTATGTAAAAACAGCATGGGGGCGGTGTCTGACCTTCTCTAACTACACAAGGGGGAAGGAGAATCAAGATCAATAGCCCAGGGCTGATTCCTATGAGGCAGAAGTCAGACATTTCTCCTCTCTCCATCTTTACCAATTCTGACACCAACCGTCCCTCCCATGGCACTCTCTACTTCTCTGCAGGATTGATAATTCATTGCAATGGCCACACAGAACTCACAGACAATACTCATGATTGTGGGGTTTATTAGGGAAGTAACAGGTTACAATTCAGGTTCAGGAACGCTCAGGATACAGTTCTTCCATTAGGAGAGCCTCTTCCCAGCCACGCTCACAGGCACGCCTCCCCCTGGCCCAAAGGCACTCAGCTTTCTCGCTCCATAGGCTAGGAAGCCCACTCTGCCATCTCCTGCCAGTCTCTTCTTCCTTGATGGTGGTGGGATCCTCTCTTCCCTTTCTCATTTTAGGCCCAGTGGGATTGCAAAACTGACCAAACCCCTTGGTGGGCCACAATTACCTTATTTTTCACAGTTCCACCCAATCATTGTGTTTGAGTCACAAAGACCATGGCTAGAAGGACCACATTAAGTAATTCATTGCACCGAGCCTATTACTCCAAATCAACTTTGTTGCTTTGGGAGAGAACTACTGAAGCAAAGGCAGTCCTAATATTAAATATTTTCAAAACTATTTTCTCCTAATACAAAGCTTTTATTTACTAGTTTGTATGTTTTTACCATTTTACAAGTGTCATCAGATTTGTTAATATGAGACTAAAGAAAAGTTTCCTACACATTGGATAAAAGGCAATCCTATAACTGGGAAGGTGTTAGAAAATCTAAATGATGTAAAGTACCCTAATGTTATTTTTTATTTGTTTAGTTTAATGAGAAGCAATGAAAACAGGTTGCTTTTGATTGACTTCTTAACTGGTTTTCACCAAATAATATTGATATACCTGAAGGCTTTATTTTACCATGAAGAAGCTGGCCACAGCCTTTCACTGTAATATGAAATTTTAAAACTTGGCCTGTTAAATCACATACTCTGTCACAAATATCCTGAAACTATCTTAATGCTTGTTGACAAGGACTAATTTTATATTTAATATTGATTATATGCCTCCATGCTTGTTTTCCAGGGGATGTATGTATTTTTGCATGCAGTGAAAGGAACACCTTTTGAAACTCCTGACCAGGGTGAAGCAAGACTTTTAACTCATTGGGAACAACTTGACTATGGAGTACAGTTTACATCTTCACGGAAGTTTTTCACAATTTCTCCAATAATTCTGTAAGTGGTGTAAATTTTAGGTGTGAGGAGGATTGGTGAAAGGAAGACATCTTTTTATCAGATTGAATTTGAATTAGAAACAGAATATTTTATTTGAAAAACCTCTATCAGTAAGTAGCTACCTCAGAGTAAAAAATACAGGCATAATTTTCAATAAGTAACAAACCAATTTTCACTTTAATCAATACATTTGGAGACAACATTACATGCTAGACATTTTGGGAGATATAGGTAAAATGTATTCCAGTTCCTGTCCTTAACTTGCTTACAAGAAAACTAAACACATAATCATATTCTGTATCCCACTATCAGATTAATCTCCCTAAATAATGATTTGGATGACTTGGAAAGAATTTCATTGACCACCCACCCCCAACTGGATGTTCAAACTCCTTGTGAGAGACAGTATGATTTAGAGAAAAGAGTGGTCAGGATTTCATTGTAGGATAGATGTGGATTGAATCCTAGATCTGTCACTCAGCCAGCTTGGTTTGTTCCTATATAAAAATTGAGCTAATAATACCTAATTCAGTGCTGATGCTTTAAGAAATAAATGAGATAATACCTATCTGAATGTGCTCAGCCACTAACTGAAAGGTTAATCGACCCAGCGGCATCTCAGGAGAAAGGCCTAACATCTACTTTGGAAAAATCAGCCATTAAAAACCCTATGGAGCACAATTCTGACACACATGGGGTTGCAATGAGTCAGAATTGGCTTGATGGCCCATCTAACCTTGTATCTGACATATTGTTTCCTCCTCTTACCTGGTATTCAGAGCCCTCCACAAAATTGTTCCTACCTCATTTTCTTTTTATGTGAATATTTTATCCCCATCTGACTCCCACTTGGTCAAGCTCTTCTAAGCATTTCTTGAATACTTCCTGTGTAGTATTATTTCTATACCTTTGTTCAGATAATTTTTTCCACCTGAAATGCCTTCCTATTTCTTAATATATTTATGTTCTATTCTTCTTTCAAGATTTAAATAATTCTTTCTCAGTGAGGTCTTTTCCTTAGCATGTATCCTTCAATGATAATACCCTACTTTGAACTCTTGTTGTTAGTTATATGTACCTCATTTATGCCACTTTGTATTATTTCTCTTTTGTTATAAATGTTTCATTTTATTTCTCCAAAGAGTTCGTAAGTGCTTAGATTGCTTTGAATCTCACACTCAGTACATAATAGATGTTACATGTCTTAAACTATACCACATAGCATACGCATAATAATATATCCATGATAGAATCAGTGCAATCTAGAGTAGCTAGAAAGATATCTTTGGAAGTGCTAGAATCCTTTAAGCTAGGACTTAAAGTGTAGGTTTTGGATAGATGTTGAAGTAAGGGAAGACATTTTCAAATGGAAGGAAGAAATTAATCATAAAGTATTAGCCTTCTTTTTCCTTGTATTTATAGCACTTTGAGAAAAATTTAAATAATTTTAAATTGGTTGGCCCCATGTAAAATTAACTTCAAAAGAGAAAATGATCTGTATGGTCTAACAAAGATTCATGCAGTAACAAGAATAATAGTGTATTCAGACAGCCCTAGGTAAGGATTTTGGCTGTACCACTTTCTAGCTATATGAGTTTTGGCTATTTTCTTGAAAGCCTTAGTTTCCTCATTTATAAAATGTAGAGAATTACATTTAATACATATAAAGCCTGGCATATAGTAAATATTCAATAAGAGCTAGCACCAAAAAAAAAAAAAAAAAAAGTCAACTAAGATGTACCTGGGTACAACCTTCATATTTCTAAAAATATATTTTTGACCCACAGGTATAATTTCAAACATTCTGTGATTTTATTGCTTACATAACTGAAGAAACAGCATTAAAGCCATCTATATAGCATTGATACTTTTCAGAGTGCTTTCACATTTTCTTATTTGATCATCATTTGTGAGGTAGGTGGGACATGCAGTGTTATCTAGGTTTTTAGATAAACAGATGCAAATGCATGACCTTGCTCAAGACCTCACAGCTAATTGGAGACAATAGCCCAGATTAAACCCTAAACTCCTGGCTTCTAATACAGGTCTCCTTTCAGTAAGTGGTATCAAACTGTTTCCCACCTGAGTTTAGCATCCTTTCAGAGGGCTCTCTAGGTTTTTGTAAGAGTCAAGTAATTTTCATGTAATCTACACACACAACTAGTCTTCATTAAAAGACAAAAAGGGATGGATAGATAGACTCAACATTATGAAAATGACAATTTTACCAAAAGCAATCTACAAATACAGTGCAATCCCAATCTAAATGCTAACAACATTCTTTAAAGAGATGGAAAAAACAGTCATTAACTTTATATGGAAAGGGAAGAGGCCCGGATAAGTAAAGCATTACTGAAGAAGAAGAATAAAGTAGGAGGACTCACACTACCTGACCTCAGAACCTACTGTACAGGTACAGTAGTCAAAACAGCCTGGTACTGGTACAGCGACAGATAAATGGACCAATGGAACAGAATTGAGAACCCAGATGAAAATCCATCCACATATGGTCACCTGATCTTTGACAAAGGCCCAAAGTCCATCAAATGAGGAAAAGACAGCTTTTTTAACAAATGGTGCCGGCAAAATTGGATGTCCACCTGCAAAAAAATGAAACAGGACCCATATCTCACACCATACACAAAAACTAATTCAAAATGGATCAAAGACCTAAATATAAAACAAAAAAACTATAAAGATCTAGAAGAAAAAATAGGACCAACACTAGAGACCCTAGTACACGGCATTAACAGGATACAAACCATAACTAACAACACAGAAACTCCAGAAGATAAGATAGATAACTAGAAGAGTCTAAAAATTAAACACGCTTATCAAAAGACTTCACCAAAAGAGTAAAAAGACAATCTACAGACTGGGAAAGAATTTTTGGCTATTACAAATCTGACAAAGGTCTAAAATCTACAGGAAAATCCAACACCTCTACAACAAAAAAGACAATCTAATTAAAAAATGGGCAAGGGAAATGAACAAACACTCCACCAAAGAAGACATTCAAGTGGCTAACAGACACATGAGGAAATGCTCGTGATCACTAGCTATTAGAGAAATGCAAATCAAAACCGCAATGAGATACCATGTCACTCTGGCGTTACTGGCACGAATAAAAAACAGAAAATAACAAATGTTGGAGAGGCTGCAGGGAGATGGGAACTGTTATGCACTGCTGGTGGGGATGCAAAATGGTACAACCATTTTGGAAAATGATATGGCACTTCCTTAGAAAGCTAGAAATAGAAATATATGATCCAGCAATCTCACTCCTAGGAATATATTCTAGAGAAATAAGAGACATCACACGAATAGAAATATGCACACCCATGTTCATTATGGCATTGTTCACAGTAGCAAAAAGATGGAAACAACCTAGATGCCCATCAACAGATGAATGGATAAACAAACTCTGGTACATAAACACAATGGAATACTATGCAACGGTAAAGAACAATGATAAATCTGTGAAGCATCTCACAGTATGGATGAATCTGGACGGCATTATGCTGAGTGAAATGAGTCAATCACAAAAAGACATATTGTATGAGACCACTACTATAAAAACTCATGAAAAGGTTTACACACAAAAGGAAGCAATCTTTGATCGTTAGGAGGGAGGGGAGGGGTAGCGGTGGAAAAACACTAAACAGACAATAGACAAGTGGTAACTTTGGTGAAGGGTAAGACAGTACCCAGTACTGGGGAAGTCAGCAGAACTTGTTCAGGGTAGGTCATGGAAGCTCCATGGACAAATCAAACTCCCTTAGGGACAGAATTACTGGGCTGAGGGCTGTGGGGACCATGGTCTCAGGGAACACCTAGCTCAATTGGCCTAACATACTTTATAAAGAAAATGTTCTGCATTCTACTTTGGTGAGTGGCATCTGGTGTCTTAAAAGCCTGTGAGTGGCCATCTAAGATACTCCACTTGTTTCACGCCTTCAGGAGCAAGGGAAAATGAAGAAAACTAAACACACGAGGGAAAGATTAGTCCAAAGGACTAATAGACCACAACTACCATGGCCTCCACCAGACTGCATCCAATACAACTAGATGGTGTCCAGCTACCACCACTGACTGCTCTGACAGGGATCACAATAGAGGGTCCCAGACAGAGCTGGAGATCAAGTGTAGGACAAAATTCTAACTCAAAAAAAGACCAGACTTACTGGCCTGACAGAGACTGGAGAGACCCCAGGAGTATGGCCCCCAGACACCCTTTTAGCTCAGCAATGAAGTCACTCCGGAGGTTCACCTTTTAGCCAAAGATGAGACAGACCCATAGGACAAAATGAGACTAAAGGGGCACACCAGCCCAGGGACAAGGACTAGGAGGCAGGAGGGGACAGGAAAGCTGGTAAAAGGGACCCAGGGTCAAGAAGGGACAGTACTGACATGTCATGGGGTTGTTAACCAATGTCATAAAACAATATATGTACTGTTTAATGAGAAGCTAGTTCTGTAAAGCTTCATCTAAAGTACACTAATGACAAAAAAGACAAAAAGGGAATATGTGTTACAGTAGTATAAAGTGAAGCCATTCCAGGCAAGTTTATTATTTCCAACCTATCAAATTATAGAATAAGCTATTAGTGATGATAAGAAATCAAATGAGTTACTAAATGGTATCCTAATTTGTTCAGTGAAGGAAGTATAAAAACAGTCTTCAAGTATATGGAAGCAGGAAAAGGGATTTAAAGTGAAGATTGAGGAATATGGTCTATTTGCAAAGAATTTTCTGACTCAGTTTGTAAAATAGGTGGAAAATTGTAGAATTTCTCAATACAGATGGTTCTGAAAATGATGTATACAGCTCTCTGACTGTAATGTTTTTAGTCATACTTGGAAATAACTGTTTTGTTATCTCCCCTATGAAAAACTAATGATGGTAGTTAGAAGAAAGTCTATTAAAATACTTTCCTTGTTTACTGTAAAAGTGATTAGACAAACACTCATATGGAAACTAACTTCTTAGTTGTGATCTAGTAAGGCATAATGTTTTATTCTTTACATCTTTTCTATTGTCATGGATTGGATTGTGTCCCCCAAAAATGTGTCTCAACTTGGCTAGTCCATGATTCCTAGTATTGTGGGATGGTCCACCATTTTGTCACCTGATGCCATTTTCCTATATGTTGTAAATCCTACCTCTATGCGTTAATGAGGTGGGATTAGAGACAGTTACGTTAATGAGGCAGGACTCAATCTACAAGATTAGGTTGTGTCTTAAATCAATATCTTTTGAGATATAAAAGAGAGAAGCGAGCAAAGAGACATGGGGACCTTATACCACCAAGAAAGTAGTATCAGGAGCAGAGTGCATCCTTTGGGCCCGCGGTCCCTGCACTGAGAAGCTCCTAGACCAGGGGAAGATTGATGACAAGGACCTTCTCCCAGAGCTGACAGAGAGAGAAAGCTTTCCGCGGGAGCTGGCGCCCTGAATTCCAACGTCTCGTCTCCTACCTAGACTGTGAGAGAATAAATTTCTCTTCATAAAAGCTATTCACTTGTAGTATTTGTTATAGCAGCACTAGATGACTGAGGCGTCTATATTAGGACACTCTTTAGTAGCCAGATATTGTGTCTGCGCTCTGGTATACCCTTGGGTAAAACTGGACCAGACATTCTGACTTGGTGATTTGTATTCTTAAAGGTGTCTTAGGCTTGTTAAAACAAATTCCCAGATATTGGATGTCTTTAAATACGTACATGCATTCAGCTGTAGCAAAACAGCTGGAATTTTACAAGCATCTTTCAAGTTTCCAGTTAAACAGGTTATGGACCTGCTCAACTACATTATGGAAATGAGAACATCAAAAAAACAACTAAGTATTTATTTTCTTTCAAAGATACTGAATTGTACTAATACACACTAGAACCCCATTTTTCAAAGTGGTTCTTAAACTTTTTGGTGGGTCACAAAACCCTTTGAGAATATGACGGATGCTTTGAATCCAGATTGTCCCTTTAGAAATATACTCATAAATACAAAACTGCACCTGAAATTTCAGGGGGCACATGAATACTAGTTTTAAAGCATCCTTCTTTAAAAGATCCTAAGTAGTAATGTGTTGTATTAAATGCATATAACATAAATGCAGAAATGCAAAATGTACAAATATACCTTCATTAAACAAATTTTAAAGTCTCAAATCAAAGTAACTTGAATCCAAACTAAGATATTTCCTCTTGTCTTAGTGCTCAAAAACAATTCTACTTTGAGGTATTTATGTTTCAGTGGCCCTTTTTCTACCTTTTGATTTTCTTCAATTCTAAGTAATTTCACAGTTGGATATTACATGTATTCTTAACTTTTTATTTCTACAGGTATTTTCTGGCAAGTTTCTATACGAAGTATGATCCAACTCACTTCATCCTAAATACAGCTTCTCTCCTGAGTGTGCTAATTCCCAAAATGCCACAACTACATGGTGTTCGGATCTTTGGAATTAATAAGTATTGAAATGTTTTGAAACAGAACAAAATTTTTTACAGCTACTCAGTTTCCTGTAAGGGCATAGTTAGTATACTGTACTGTTTCTATGATAATGTGAGCATTGGAAGGCCAGTTGCTGGTTCTTCATATGCTATTTTGAAGTGCAGATTCTTACTAGAAGATGCCTCTGTTTAAATGCATCTGGTATATTTCTGAAGAGATGCTTTATAGGCAGGCTGGGCAGGCCCAGCTCCTAAGTTAAATGGCTATACAGTGAGGGTGTAGTAGATAAATGCAGGGTAAAAAGAGATCTGTAAGAGACTGGTTTATAATGAATGGGCATTATGTTAGGAGAAGAAAATTTCCAATCATTCAGTCACAGTCATTTTAAGCAGACTTAACATGTAAACCATAATCATCTCTTTAAAAGTTTATTATGGATTGTTTTTATTACAAAACATATTCCTACCCTCTTGTTTTATACAAGCCGATTTCTACCTTATGTTATGAGTATATTTTTGTGGTTTTGTTGGCTTCAAATTTTGCATTGATAGACAAGGTCATTTTTACATTTATTAAGTTACTGAACTTATGAAGGTCCACCTGCATGACTGATTGATAATAGAAGATAGCCAGGCATCTTACAAACAGCCTTTGAGTCAGACTTTTAATTTTCGAACAAATCTAGGTTTTGCTGCCTTTCTAGGCAGAAGGCTGCTAAACCAATTAAGAAAATAATTTATTTCAAACAGTTAAAGCACATAGTAATTTAAAGTTTTCTGCTTATTTGGTTGAGCAACTTAATTGTTAAAATCTGCCATTCTTTTAGAAAAGAAATGCAACACGAATAGCTATATAGCCAACCTATGGTCTGGCAGAAACAGCTTCTCTGGCATTAGTACCAGCATAAGTAATGGAGCCTTTTATAGCTGGTTTACAATAAAAGATAACATCATCTTTTCTTAGCCTCCCCACTTTCAACTCCCATATTTTGCCCATTAATATTTTTGCCTTTCAATAACATGGATTTTAGTATAGGTAACCCCAAATGGTGACTCTTTCCAAGGCAGCAACCATATTGAAATTCTTGTGACTTGGGCAAGCTTCCTATAGTTGCTGACTTTAATCACAAAAAATAACTATATAATACTTTGAGATCTGAAGATGCACCCCCCCCCAAAAAAAAAAAGTTCTGTTATGGGATGAAACTGAAAAACTCAGTAATATTTGTAAACAAAATTGAGTGGAAAGAATTATAGAACAACTTAAAAATCAATTTGTTTCAGTAAAATGACTTCTGGGGGGTGATGATCATTGTTTTGTATTTCAAAAGTATTGAATTTAAAAATCAGTTGTATGATAACTGCCTTTGTATGTTTGTCTTTACCCATGTATTTTTAAATAACTGGTAATCTATAATAAAAATTTTCCTTGGTGTAAGATTATTTCAAAAGCTCTCCAGATTCAGTCATTAAAATTTCACTTATTTTTTCAAGTTATTTTTAAGCAAAGTAATTTATAAAATTAAGGTGACTAAAACATTGCTTTTCTTCATTTTAAAGCTTAAATATCTCAGAAGGCTTTCATTTTTTGTACAGACTTCAGAGGTAGAAATCTGCCTCTGATTCAGGCTTCCTTCTCCTATTTTCCCTGCTTTCATCCCTCAATGTTTTAAAAATATTTATTCAGCAGATACTTGAGGGCCTACTCTTTGCTTATGCCGACACCATGTGTGCATAGTAGAACTGCTCCATAGCGTTTCCAGGGCTGACCTTTCAGAAGATCACCCATCCTTATTTCTGAGGTGCCTCTGAGTGGGTTTGAAATGCCAACCTTTTGGTTTGTGGTTCAGTGCTTAACCATTTGTGCCACCCAGGGAGTTGGAATCAAGTCAACGGCAACTAACAACAACTCTGCGCTAGGTATTCTAGGTGTTGTGGATACAGTGTGTAAACAAGACCAAGTCCCTCCCATTATGTTCTTACATTCTAGTTTGAGGACAGATAATGAGTAAACAAATACATATTTCACATAGTGATAAACGCTATGGGGAAAAAATAGGTGAAAGAGGAACTATTTTAGAAAGGTCTTCCCTGAAGATCTGACCTGAGAAGGTGACATTTGAATATAGACCTTATTGACAAAGGAGCAAGCTGTGCAAAGATCTGGGGAAAGTGCATTCCCAATAGAGGTAATGAAAGGTATTAAGGCACTGAAGCAGGAATGAGGGTCCTGTGTTTGAGAGGAAGAACAAGACAGCCACTGGGGCTAGAAAGAAGCAAAGAGGAGAATGGTAGCAAATGAGGTCAGAGAAATACGCATGGGCCAGATCATATAGGCCTTCTTAAACAAGGGTAAACGGATTTTATCCTAAGCGTGACAAAGCCATTGGAGAGTTTATGCAGGTAATTAAAGGAATCCTATTTTATTTATTTATTTATTTTGGAGCCCTGATGGTGTGGTGGTTAAGCATTCAGCTGCCAACCAATAGGTTGGAAACCCTATGAGGCAGTTCTGCTCTGTCCATAGGGTCTCTATGAGTCAAAATCCACTTGAGGGCAATGGGTTTGGTTTCAGGTTTGTTTTTTTTAAAGGTCACTGGCTACTGTTGAGAATAAACTGTAAGGGATTAGGAAATAGAATTGGAAACTCGCAGGCAAGAAATGGTAGTTCAGACCAGGAAATGGTGGATGAAGTGGTGGACAAAAGGTCAGATTTGGGATATGTTTTGCAAGTACAAGACGACGACTTGCAAATCACCCAAACTCTGATTCAGTTTCCTAATCTATAAAATGAGGACATAGTACCTACCTCATAAGGTTATTGTGAGGATTAAATAAATCTACAACAGTGCCTGGACACATAGTAAGTGCCATTTTATTGTTAATTATTGTTACACATAAAATTTTTGAAAAACTACGTTCCATCAACAAAATCTCTTTAACAACATTCTGGTAATTATGAATTTAAATATCTGTATCTACCACCATACTATAGCTCTGTGACTTCCGGAAGTGTTATTTACTCATCTTTTATACCCAGAGCTTCACACAGTGCAAGGCACAGATGTATGTGCCCGCCAAGTCCAACCTTCCATTACAAGTTACTAAAACCTTACAGCCTAGCATAGAAGACGAGATAAATCCATTCAAACAACTGGTAACAAGTTCACATATTAATAAAAGCAAAAAAAAAAAAAAAAGCCGCAGGATGTGCAAGACTATGAGTACATACTATACTGGAGAGGCTCTCTGGTGGTGCAGCAGTTAAAGAGTTGCGGCTGCTAACCAAAAAGTCTGCAGTTCAAATCCACAAGTCGCTCTTTGAGAATCCTATCGAGCACTTCTCCTCTGTCTTACGGAGTCACTATATGAGTCCGAATCAACCCATCTGCAACGAGGTTTTTGTTTTTTAATGCTGAAAATTGCATATATACTTAATAAGCAAGGACCATGTGGTGGCATAGTGGTTAAGAGCTACCGCTGCTAACCAAAAGGTCAGTAGTTTGAATCCACTAGGCGAACATTGGAAACCCTATGGGGCAGTTCTACTCTATCCTATAGGGTCGCTGTGAGTAGGAATCCAGTCCACGGCAACGGATTTATTTGTGTGTGTGTGTGTATATATATATTTTTTTTTCTTTTTTTTTTTAAGGTTAAGTGAACTTGTGCCTCTCCGTCATTCCCCCCCCCCCATTACAAAAAGAAGCCAATCGCAAACGTTATTCCCAGTGAAAAAGAGGGAGTAACGGTTTAGACTATCCGGCAGGAAGCACTTCCGTTCTCTAGAAATGCGGTAGAAGCCCTTGGAAAAGTCTCCGGTTTCCATCCTACTTCTTAGAAAAATACTAGGTATCTCAGGCCACAATTTTTAGATTTGGTGATAATCCCCCTAAAATGGTAAGACAAATAATTTACCCCATCCTTGCCTCACAGTGGCACCCAAAGTCCAGCCAAAGGGGGGAAAATGTAGCGGAGCGTTTGGCACTTAATGCAGTGTAGTCGGGCAAATTTGTGTTCGGCCTCCGCTGACCAATCACTAGCTGTGTGACCTTGTAGAAGTCTCGTTAACTATGAATCTGGGAGAAACGCACCACAGCATGCACAGAGTCTGTGACAAAGGAAGCTCTCGTATTTTCACTTACTCTGAGTTATAGAGTGCCACGCCCTAAGGCAATAGCGGCCTGTCCGGGCACCTGGAACGCTCGCACCGCATCCATGACATAACTTCCGGAGCGCTAGGTTCAGGCTTTCTTGAGCACAGAGGTGGCGGTGCGTGCTTTTGGTTAGGGAAGGAAGATGGAAACTAGGTTCTGTTGCTTTCTACGAAGGTGGGTGAAATTTCTTACCCCCATCTTACTGATGCTTTCGCACGCCTAGAAGAGCAGTGCGAATCTGAGCCCCTGTCTTCTTAGAGAGGGCAGAGGCCCCCGCTGGCCGGATCCTCTGAGTTCACTCAAGAGGTTTCTTGGCCAGAAAGAGAATTGCTTAGCACAAACCGCTTAAGCTGGGCTAGCCAGTAGTCTTGCGCGGATTTGATGATGCAAATCCAGTTCCTCTAGTGCGTGTGTCTGGGCTGCGCTCCCCTAGGCTGCCTCTGCAAATAGGTCTCTCGTCTGTAATCCCTGTATGCCCTCTGTCCTAGCTGAACAATAAAAGGTCCAATATTAATGCGTTCTTTTTTGAACCCCCAATGTTTTTCACGGGCCTTCCGACCTGTCTTTCCCGTTTGACCCCCTGCTGAGAAATGCATTTGTAGCAAGTTCCCAGGAACCCAGGTGATGCTTATGTATAACTTCCTGGGAATTTGTTAGAAATGCAAATTCTCAGCCAGGGGTCAAACCAGAACGAACCGGTTCGAAGCCCTGGTTTTTCATTAGTGTTGTAGGGAAAAGACCTACTTTAAACATCCAGAAAAGTTCTAGCGGGTGATTTTGGGGGCATGAAATTATTTAGCAGTCTGCAAACACTAGGGTGCTTGTGTGATGGGCTGCTTCTAATTACTTTGGAAAAATCCTTATTACAAGCTTCTAGTAAAAATTAAGATTTTTTTTTTTTAATTGAACCTTGATGAAGGTTTACAGAACAAACTAGCTTCTCATTAAACAGTACGTATAGTGTTTTATGGCATTGGTTAACAACCCCATGACATGTCAGTACTGTCCCTTCTCGACCTTGGGTTCCCTGTTACCAGCTTTCCTGCCCCCTCCTACCTTCTAGTCTTTGCCCCTGGGCTGGACTCGTTTTGCCTTATGGGCCTGTCTGATCTTTGGCTAAAAGGTGAACCTCCGGAGTGACTTCGTTACTGGGCTAAAAGGGTGTCCCGGGGCGATACTCTCGGGGTTTCTCCAGTCTCTGTCAGGCCAGTAAGTCTGGTCTTTTTTTTTTTTTGAGTTAGAGTTTTGTTCTACATTTTTCTCCCGTTCTGTCCAGGACCCTCTATTGTGATCCCTGTCAGAGCAGTCACTGGTGGTAGCTGGACACCATCTAGTTGTACTGGACTCGGTCTGGTGGAGGCCATGGTAGTTGTGGTCTCTTAGTCCTCTGGACTAGTCTTTCCCTTATATCTTTGGTTTTCTTTATTTTCCCTTGCTCCTGAAGGGGTGGGACCAGTGGAGTATCTTAAATGGCTGCTCACAGGCTTTTCTTTTCAAGCTTTCTTTTTTAAAATTGTTGTGCTTCAAGTGAAAGTTTACAGTTCAAGTTAGTCTTTCATACAAAAATTTATACATACATTGTTACGTGACCCTAGTTGCTCTCCCTATACTGTGACAGCACACTCTTCCTTTCCACCCCAGATTTCTTGTGTCCATTCAGCCAGCTCCTGACCCTCTCTGCCTTCTCATCTCACTTCTGGAAAGGAAACATTAAAAAATTAAGATTTAATTGGAAAGAGTGTAATTAATGGATAAAATAATCATTAAGTTGCATTCGTTTTAGTTGACATGTTTTTCTTTAAGACATGCCTTATAAGAATACTTGTTTCTAAACTACGTGACTACATATTGTTTTGTGTTTTATGTGAACACTCTTGTTTTTGAGTCATATGATTAAATTTTATTTTGAAAGATGTTTCCAGGAAATGGGATAGATTTGTTTCTATCTGTTCCATTTTGCCTTTATTGTTTGATTTTTTTAAAAAACCACACTTGGTCTTAATTTTAGCTATCAAAAAATAAACAGCACTTTTTAGAGGACTATCCATACAACAATTACACTATAATAGTAACTTTTATAAAGTATAATGAATAATGTGCTAAGAACAGCGTGACAATAACCAATAAAACACTAAAAAATCTTACAGCCTACTTCTTTGTTTGCCTCCTTGAAGAGCATTATGTTTATTTATACTGTTATTTATATTTACAGGCATGCTACATTGAAAAAAATGCTAATTATACAAACTTTGCTATAATTTTATAAAACTATATAAACTAAAGATTGAAAAATAAACTAAACTTTCAGAGTTTTGCCTACCTGAATGGGTGGCTTGTAAACAGAGTAGTTGTTAGTGCTTAATGTCAGTTACAAATAATAATTTTGTTTCTGTAATTCTTTTCCAGGAATTATCTATAAAGTAAATATGCTAATATTGAATAAGACAGTAAGAGTTTTTTCTATACCATCAAAAAGGAAAATTTATGAATTTTTAGGAAGTTTTACTTTTCATCCTGGAAAACTATTTCTTCATAAACTAGTATTGGGAATTGAAACCAGTTGTGATGATACAGCAGCTGCAGTGGTGGATGAAACTGGAAATGTGTTGGGAGAAGCAATACATTCCCAAACTGAAGTTCATTTAAAGTAAGTAGACGTTATCATGGTAGTTTCCATTTTTTTTTGAAAAGTAAAATGAAATAATTTTTTTGTATTTGTTATATATAAAAGTAAAATTTTAGAATTGTATTTCTCTCATGTAAAGCCTTTCAATAACTGCTATAGGACAGCCTTAAACCTCCAAGCCTGATTTTTAAGGCTGTCTACGATAAGGTCCCTGTCTTGGTTATCTAGTGCTGCTATAACAGAAATACCACAATTGGATGGTTTTAACAAACAGAAGTTTATTCTTTCACACTTTAGGAGGTTAGAAGTCCAAATTTATGGTGTCAGCTCCAGGGGAAGGCTTTCTGTCTCTGTTGGCTCTGGGGGAAGGTGCTTGTCATCAATCTTCCCTGCAGGGAGGTTCTGCATTCTTGATGGTAGGAGATCCCCTTATCTCTCTGCTTGCTTCTCTCTTTTATATCTCAGAAGAGATTGATTTAAGACACAACCTAATCTTATAGATTGAGTCTTGTCTCATTAATATAACTGCCTCTAATCTGGCCTCATTAACATCCTAAAGGTAGGATTTACAACACATGGGAAAATCACATCAGATGACAAAATGGTGGACAGTCACATAATACTGGCAATCATGGCCTAGCCAAGTTGACACACATTTTTGAGGGACACAATTCTATCCGTGATAGTCCCTAATCCTTTTGCCAGAAGGATTTTGCTAATCTGACTGCCAAAAAGCTAAATTTATTCCCAACTCAAATACTTATTGATGATTTTTCCTCAGGAATGCCTTTTCCTTTTTTCTCCACTTGTCTGTGTCATGGTCTCAACTGAAATTCTAGGAAAGCATGACCCTCACCTCTAACCTGTGTTAATCTTATCTTTAAAAAAAAAAAAATCCATCTTTTCACATTTATGCACACAACTTGTATTGGTACTTATATTAATAATACCACATTGTATTAAGCATAGAATGGTACAAGATTTATAAACTCAGATGTTTACAGAGGCCAGCCAGGCATGAACGGGCTGGATATAAAGTGGAAAATACCTAAAGGAGGTCACTACTCAGTGCCAGCTGATTGTTGCCATGCATGAATGTAGGCCGTATGTTATTAGATCATCAGGATGTTCAAGAGAAAATGGAAGTCCAGATTTATAAATGTGATATCTTGAAATTTTTTAATTAGTAGCTTATTCAAATGTTTTAGAATACTCTGCAGATCAGATGTGCCTTAAAATCATCAGTTTATGTTTGAATAGTGCAAAAGCCTGATAATTTGGAATCACAGACCTATATTTGAATCAGGCACTTAATACAGTATTGGACCTGTAACTTTAGGGTAGTTCTTCATCTTTTCTGATTCTGTTTTTATATAGTAAAATGGGAAAGATAATACCTGCCTTCTAGGATTGTGGGGGAGCATTAGAATTAATATATGTGAAGAGGCAGAGTAGCCCTCAAAGGGTAACTAACATACCATGTGAAAGGTACTGTGGAGGTGTTAGTAAGGTACAATGAAGTACTAGAAAGTCCTTGCCTCCAAGAAGCTTAACCTAATCACTGAGGCATGATATATAGACCTACCAGGAGAGCTAACAGTACAAGGTAGCATAAAATGAGTATCAAACAAGTATGCAGACAACTGTTACTGCCATGTCTTATATGCTTAGTTTTTCCCAGTTATCAGATTTTGAATATATAAATGTTAACTGCATAGAAAGGCCTACCCTGACCACTTTTGTCTAAATTTGATACTCCCACCCTATTTATTTTCTATCACCATATCTTGCTTAGTTTCTTCATAGTTATTTTCACAATTCATAATTACATTTATTTACTTGGAGCCCTGGTGGCACATTGTTTTTCGTAAAAATATTTCCCCCAATAGACTAAACTCCATGGTGGCAGGGGCTGTGTCTATCTTATTTACTATACTCTGGCTAGTGCCCAGCACAGCATTTGCCACATCAAGGTGCTTGGTGGCCTTCAGTGAATGAAGATGGAGAGGTTATTGTAGCCTGAGTAAGCATTGTCAGTAAAGACAAAGAAGTGCAAAAGTACTGGACAAATAGTTTAGCTAAAGTAGGTCTCTTGAGAAAATACTGGTCAAATAGGCTTCACTGGTACCAACTGCACAGCTCAGCATTTATTCAATACCTACAATCATCAGGCAATATTTGAGGCACTGTGGGTACAAAGATGTATAAGATGTATGATCCTTGTTTCTTAGCAGCTCATTGAATAGAGTGGTTAAGAGTGTGGGTTTATATTCTGGTTCTGCCACTTGCTAGTTTTGAGACCTTGAACAGTTTTTTTTTTTTTTTCTCAGTTTTCTCATCTGTAAAGTGGGAATAATACAACTAGCTCAGTGGTATTGTTGTGAAGATTAAATGTGAATCTTTTTTTTATTGTTGTAATTTAAATGAAGTTTACATGTCAAGTTATTCTCCCATACAAAAATTTATACATAGATTGTTATGTGACCCTAGTTGTTTTCCCCATACTGTGACAGCTTACTCCTCCTTTCTGCCCCTGACTCCCCATGTCCATTCAACCAGCTTCTAACCCTCTCTGCCTTCCCATCTCACCTCCAGACAGAAGCTGCCCCTTTAGTCTCTTGTATCTACTTGAGCTAAGTGACACACTCCTCAGGAGTATCACTTTATGTCCCACATTCCAGTCCAATCGCTGTCTGAAGAGTCGGAAATTGTTTTATTTCTGGGCTGATAGAGAATCCAGGGGCCATGCTTTCCAGTGTTCCTCCAGTCTCAATCAGACCATTAAGTCTGGTCTTACTAGAATTTGAGTTGTGCATGCACCTCACCTTTCTCCTGCTCCATCAGGGACTCTCTGTTGTGTTCCCTGTCAGGGCGGTCATTGGTGGTAGCCGGGCACCATCTAGTTCTTCTGGTCTCAGCTGATGAAGTCTCTGGTTTATGTGGCCCTTTCTGCCTCTTGGACTAATACTTTCCTTGTGTCTTTGGTGTTCTTCATTCTCCTTTACTCCAGGTGGTTGGGACCAATTGATGCATCTTAGATGGCTGCCTGCAAGCTTTTAAGACCCCAGACGCCACTCACCAAAGTAGGATGCAAAACATTTTCTTAATAAGCTTTGTTATGCCAGTTGACCTAGGTGTCCCCTGAAAGCATGGTCCCCAGACCCCTCTCCCTGCTACTTTGTCTCTCAAAGTGTTTGATTGTTTTCAGGAAACTTCTTAGCTTTGGTTTAGTCCAGTTGTGCTGACTTCCCCTGTAGTGTGTGCTGTCCTTCCCTTCATCTAAGATAATTCTTATCTACTATCTAGTTAGTAAATAACCCTCACCCTCCCTCCCCACCCTCATAACCATCAAAGAATGTTTTCTTCTGTGTTTAAACCTTTTCTTGAGTTCTTATCATAGTGGTCTTATATAATATTTGTCCTTCTGTGACTGACTAAATTCACTCAGCATAATGAGTTCCAGCTTCCTCCATGTTATGTTTCACGGCTTCATCGCTGTTCTTTATCGTTGCGTAGTATTCCATTGTGTGGATATACCATAATTTGTTTATCCATTCGTCTGTTGATGGGCACCTAGGTTGTTCCTGACTTTTTGCTATTGTGAACAGTGCTGCAATGAACATGGCTGTGCATATATCTTATTTCTCTAGGATATATTCCAAGGAGCGGGATAGCTGGATCGTATGGTACTTCTATTTCTAGCTTTTTAAGGAAGCGCCAAATCGATTTCCATGTTCCAGTCTCTCCACAGCCTCTCCAACATTTATTATTTTGTGTTTTTTGGCTTAGTGTTAGCCTTGTTGGGGTGAGATGATATCTGATTGTAGTTTTGATCTGCATTTCTCTAATGACTAATGATTGTGAGCATTTCTACATGTGTTTGTTAGCTACCTGAATATCTTCTTTGGTGAAGTGCCTGTTCATATCCTTTGCCCATTTTTTAATTGGGTTATTTGTCTTTTCGTTGTTGAGGTTTTGCAGTATCTTGTAGATTTTAGAGATTAGACGCTGATTGGATTTGTCGTAGCCAAAAATTTTTTTCCAGTGTGTAGATTGTCTTTTTACTCTTTTGGTGAAGTCTTTTGATGAGCATAAGTGTTTGATTTTTAGGAGCTCCCATTTATCTAGTCTCTCTTATGGTGCTTGTGCATTGTTACTTATGGTTCGTACTATGTTTATGCCATGTATTAGGGCTCCTAGCATTGTTCTTATTTTTTCTTCCATGATCTTTATTGTTTTTGATTTTATATTTAAGTCTTTGATCCTAAATGTGAATCCTTTTTAAAGCATTTAGTGCAATGCTTGACAAATAGCAGGGGCTCAATAAAAGCTAGCTATTGTTATAACTTTAGTACTTCTGTTACTGCTACTAATAAATGAAGAAGACAGACAGGTAAACAGATCATTGTAAAATAGTGTGAAAAATGCAATAATAGAGGATTGCTGTGGGAGAAAGTCCCTTTCAAGTCAGAAACCTGAAGGACATCCTTGATTTCTCCCTCACCACTCCATATCCAAATTAGACATCCAGTCCTAGTAAATCTACCTCAAAAATATTCCTTGAAACTTTTATTCTCCCTCCCCACCAGTTTAGTTCAAGTTCTTATTATCTCTTGCCCTGGATTCTTGCTACAGCTTTGAAGCTAAGTGGCTTCCCTGCCTCTTTATTAGCTTTGCTCCCTAATTATCCACCTTTCATACTGTATACAAGTTATAGTAAGACAAGACTATGTGCTTCGAGAATAAGGCTATGATCTTAGTCATCTCTTTCATCCCCAGTGCTTAGCATAATCCCTGGAAGAAAAAAAGATAAAGAAGAAGCACAGAAAGGAAGGGAGGTAGGCAAGAGGGGAAAAGGAAAAAATAAGTGGGAGGGAGAGAAACCGGACTTAAAGTTTTCTAAATTTCAAGAAAGTAAGTTTTTTGAGTAGGAGAGTAATAGGATCAGCACTGTTCTTTAGAGTATTCTCTGGCAACACAATATAGGGTGGACTTTAAGGTTTAGAGAGTGTAGCTAAGGAAGTACAAGTAGAAGGCTGTTGAATAGGCTGAGATAGTGAGGGCTTTTTGGATCTGGTAGTGGCAATGGGATTGATAATAAATTTAGTTAAATGTAAAGAGTAAGGGAAAGAAAGGAGATAAAGATGAACCTTGAAACCCAAGTGATTAGGAGGTTGTTGATGCCGTTAATAGATACGGAATAAGAGAAAAAGTAGCTGTGAAGAAGTAAGGAAAATGGTATTTCAATATGGATGTATTGAAATAAGATCTTTTTTATATCTTCCTCATTGCCTGACACAATATGTATTTTATCTGTTAAATATTCTGTGAATGTTCCTCCTGGGGATTATGATTTCTGTGTACAGAATTAGCATATCTTGCAACATCAAATATATGAAGATTCTTTGAGACTAGGGATGCATTCTGCAGACCTTGTATTTTATTACTCGGCTTCTCAGATTATAAATCAGTCACATGCTGTTGCTAACAAATTTGCATCTTAATTCTTTACCCTTGACATTTAGAATGGTCATCCACTGTTTGTCCAACATGGACCAAAATTCCAAATCACCCACTCTGAGCACTGGATTTCCAAACTTTATTTCAAAGTTGCAAGCTGTCTACTCTCCTGCTCTGACCTCAAGTGCAGTGTGTTTAAAAATAAACTTCTTTACCATAAAACTGTCTTCATGAGTCACTGTTAGTATTTTTGTTCCCCAGTCACTTCAGCTCACTATCTGAATCATCTTTGATACCTTTGATCCTTTCTCCCTTTATACCCAGTTAGTTATTTCAACTTTCAAAGCTCTCTGTCCTTTTCTTTTCATTCCCTACCATCGCCCAGTTTAAGATGTCATCACTTTACACAAATGTTTTTGCAATAACCTCTTTAAAAATCTCCATCTGCAGGGAGATTAATTTCTCTAAAATATACTTTTACCCTTTCTTTCCCTTTTTCAAGCTAGTAGAGCAGTTAAAAAGTTGGTAGACCAGTTAAAAAAGCCCTTCATTCCCGTCCATCATAGAAGCCCATGCAGTTACTATTAGGTTAATCAATAATAGAGAATTTCCTTTTTTAGTTCTTTTGAACTAAAATACAGTTTTATCCTTTCTTTCCCTTTTTTGAGATATTTTTCCTAGAATGTTTTGCAGTATTATTTTGGTGCTTTCATTCATCAACAAATGGATCCATAGGAATTTGTGTGCACAAGTTGGAAAAGTCTGAGAAGACACCCCAGAGACGTTACGCTCGTAATTGCTACATATTGAGGTCTTATTGTAGTGGCATTATAAGCCACGGATATTTTGAAAATACTTGAAATATATTTTCGGCATATAATGATTAATTTGAAAATATGCCTTCAGCTATAATATATAATTTTTCTTCCTCTGTTTTTACAGTCTTAAAATTATAAAGTGGTTCCTTTTTATTTCTTTCAGAACAGGTGGGATTATTCCTCCAGTAGCGCAACAGCTTCACAGAGAAAATATTCAACGAATAGTACAAGAAGCTCTTTCTGCCAGTAGAGTCTCTCCGAGTGAACTCTCAGCAATTGCAACTACCACAAAACCAGGACTTGCTTTAAGCTTGGGAGTAGGTTTATCATTTAGCTTACAGCTGGTAGACCAGTTAAAAAAGCCCTTCATTCCCATCCATCATATGGAGGCCCATGCACTTACTATTAGGTTAACCAATAATGTAGAATTTCCTTTTTTAGTTCTTTTGATCTCTGGAGGTCACTGTCTATTGGCATTAGTTCGAGGAGTTTCAGATTTTTTGCTTCTTGGAAAGTCTTTGGACATTGCACCAGGTGACATGCTTGACAAGGTAATATATATTTAAGAATTGATTTCTCCATTCTTTTCTGTTGTGGTGTGTGTTTTAATTAAATAGGGATAGATATCCTACTACTATTCATCTACATATTACTGAATAATATTGTGTTAGACTGGAAAATTTATGCTCAATAAGAAAAAAAAATAGTCATAATTTTGTAAAAAGATTCCCTTACCCATTTCTAATAAATGGTAGAAAGTTTGCATCAATACACAAAAAAGCTCAAATAGTTTGCAGATACAGGTACATGATTAGTCAGGTAATATATGTGAAAGTGCTTTGTAAACTATAAATTGCGAATGTAAAATAAGAGGATATGTATAAAGATTAACATAAGATACACACAATTGTGTGATTAAATCACACAATTCTTGTTACCACACCCAAGCAGATTGCTTTTTCCTTTATTTTAGAATAATACAAAGCCTGCTGTCGTATATAAAAAATACCGTAGCCAACAGCAAAAACGATTGAAGAAAGAATAGGGCAGGTTCACATTTTTCAAGTTCATCTTTAAGTAATTATTGTCACCTTCAAGCAAGTTTTCCAACCCAACCAGAAGATCAAAAGTAGATTAGGGAGGCAGTGAAATTGGATACTGTTGCTTAGGTTGTCAGAAGGAACAGCATTGTCTGTCTTTATTGACCATCACCTATAGTCTGTATTGTAAAAGTATAGCATGTTTTTTCATCCTGTTTTTTTTTAGTAATATTTCATTTCCTTTGCATCTTTTGCGTTCAAAATGTGCAATTTTATGACTCATTAGAAAAATGTATGTTTTCGTTTTATAGGTAGCAAGAAGACTTTCTTTAAGAAAACATCCAGAGTGCTCCACCATGAGTGGTGGGAAGGCTATAGAACATTTGGCTAAACAAGGAAATAAATTACTTTTTGATCTCAAACCCCCCATGCACCGTGCTAAAAATTGTGATTTTTCTTTTTCTGGACTTCAAAACGTTGTTGACAAAATAATAAAGCAAAAGGAAAAAGAAGAAGGTATATTTCTAATTAGCAGAGTTAAACAGATAAATAACCCCCATTTAGATTGTGTCTGAAAATACCTGCTTGTTTTTGCAGGCATTGAGGTGGGACAAATCCTATCTTCAGCTGCAGACATTGCTGCTGCAGTACAGCACACAACAGCATGCCACATTGCGAAAAGAACACATCGTGCTATCCTGTTTTGCCAGCAGAGAGGCTTGTTAGCTCAGACTAATGCAGTACTGGTAAGTGTTTGTCATCTCCTCTTATAGTAGTAATAACAGTTTTATACTATATTACTTCTTTTCCTAGAGCTTAATTGACTCTATGCATAGAATGAACAGATCTTTATGCTATATGCTGACCCCGACAGTGGAAATTATGCAGAATAGAGAAGACCCACTAACAGTCATTTCTTGTGCAGGTATGGCAGCTTAATGGCTCAGCTATACAACCTGTCTGGCCAAAAAAAGAGCCCGAGGCTGCATCTTCTCATTGAATTTAGAAGAGGGTTTACAGTAGAGAAAGCAAATGTAGTAACAACTGTCACTGTTTTTAAACACAAGTTTATTTATGTTCCTTTGATGAAATCCCTTTAAATGTGCCTTGATAAACTTTCTGTATAACTGTATCTTAAACTTTATCTTTTGAAAGTTATAAAGTGGGAAAATGTTTAAATGATGGTAGGTTCACAAAGTAAAATATTACATGAATATTAAACAATAGTTTAATTATGTAGTAAAATAAAAAAATGCTTCTAAGTAAAAAAGGCAGAGTCTAAATTATTGGCATACTATGATTATAATGATGTTGCTTAGCAACATCATGATAAATGGAGGAAAGATTGAAGTCATCAAGAATTTCATTTTACTTGGATCCACAATCAACGCCCATGGAAACAACAGTCAAGAAGTCAAAAGACGCATTGCATTGGGCAGATCTGCTGCAAAAAACCTCTTAAAGGTGTTAAAAAGCAAAGATGCCACCTTGAAGAGTGAGATGTGCCTGACCTAAGCCATGGTGTTTTCAGTCGCCGCATATGCGTGTGAAAGCTGGACAATGAATAAGGAAGACCGAAGAAGAACTGATGCCTTTGAATTGTGGTGTTGGTGAAGAATATTGAATATACCATGGACCGCCAAAAGAATGAACAAATCTGTCTTGGAAAAAGTACAATCGGAATGCTCCTTAGAAGCAAGGGTGGTGAAACTTCGTCTCGCATACTTTGGACATGTTATCGGGGGGGACCAGTCCCTGGAGAAAGACATCATGCTTGGTAAAGTGGAGGGTCAGCGAAAAAGGGGAACACCCTGAATGAGATGGATTGACACAGTGGCTGCAACAGTGGGCTCAAGCATAATGATGATTGTGAGGATGAAGAAGGACCAGGCAGTGTTTCATTCTGTTGTCCATAGGGTCGCTATGAGTCAGAACCGACTTGACAGCACCTAACAACAACAATTGCAATTATATTGAAGAAATATTCAGAAAAAGATTAGAAGAAACTGTACAAAAATGTTAATAACGATTGAATGTTGATATTGAAATTATTTTCTTCTCCAAATTTATATCACTTGCCCATTACCCACCTATCAAACTTCAATGTTTTCTTATTGTATAATGTTATTTTCCCCAGGTTTAGCTAACAGCTTGGTTCATATCCATATGTGATAGTTGTTAATTGTGGTCTTCTGAAATCCTTCAGGTTGCATCTGGAGGCGTTGCAAGTAACCTATATATCCGAAAAGCTCTGGAAATTGTAACAAACCTAACTCAGTGCATTTTGTTATGCCCTCCTCCCAGACTGTGCACTGACAATGGCGTTATGATTGCATGGTAAGCCATGGGATGTATGGATTTCACTCATAATTACATAAAAATTTATTGCCATTTCATCATACTAAATCTCCTTCCTTTAAATCTTGGAACTTTTTATTTTATTAACTTTCATTTAGGAATGGCATTGAAAGATTACGTGCTGGCTTGGGTATTTTACACGACACAGAAGGCATCCGCTATGAACCAAAGTACGTGATACCATTCATAATCTTTATGCAAGCTGCATTATAGAAGTCAAAGCCTGTAATTTGCTTTTACATGTGAGGATTTCATTGACATTCTTTTAGTACTTGAAGAAAAGTCACATTAATTTCTTTCATGAAAATCATATTAATTTCCTTCATGTTAAGAATAAGATTTGTTAACCTTATAAGAATTTTTTTTTACTGTGCTTTAAGTGAAAGTTAACAATGGAAGTTAGTTTCTTATACGAAAATTTATACACACATTGTTATGTGACCCTAGTTGCTCTCCCTATACTGTGACAGCACACTTCTCCTTTCCAACCCATATTTCCCGTGTCCATTCAACCAGCTTCTGTCCCTTTCTTCCTTCTTATCTCGCCTCTGGACAGAGCTGCCCATTTAGTCTCATGTAACTACTTGAGCTAAGAAGCACCCTCTTCATGAGTGTCATTTTATGTCCTATAGTCCAGTCTAATCTTTGTCTCTTGAAGAGTTGGCCTTGGGAATGGTTTTAGTTTTGGGCTAACACAGAGCCCGGGGACATGTTTTCCAGAGTCCCTCCAGTCTCAGTCAGACTGTTAAGTCTGGTCTTTTTACTAGAATTTGAGTTCTGCACCCAATACTTCTTCTGCTCTGTCAGGTTCTCTCTGTTGTATTCCCCGTTAGGGCTGGCATTGGTGGTAGCCAGGCACCATCCGGTTCTACTGGTCTCAGGCTGATGGAGTCTCTGGTTTCTATGGCCCCTTCTGTCTCTTGGGCTAATATTTTCCTTGTGCCTTTGATGTTCTTCATTCTCCTTTACTCCAGGTGGTTGGGACCAATTGATGCATCTTAGATGGCCACTCGCTAGCTTTTAAGACCCCAGGATGCCACTCACCAAAGTAGGATGCAGAACGTTTTCTTAATAAAGTTTGTTACACCAGTTGACCTAGATGTCCCCTGAAACCATGGTCCCCAGACCCCTGCCCCTGCTACTCTGTCCCTCAAAGTGTTTGGTTGTATTCAGGAAACGTCTTAGCTTTTTGTTTATTAGTCCAGTTGTGCTGACTTCCCTGTACTGTGTGTGGTCCTTCCTTTCACCTAAGATAATTCTTGTCAGCTATCTAGTTAGTGAATACCCCTCTTCCTCCCTCCCCACACTCATAACCACCAAAGAATGTTTTCTTCTATGTTTAAACCTTTTCTTCAGTTCTTATAATAGCGGTCTCGTACAATATTTGTCCTTTTCCGACTGACTAATTTTACTCAGCATAATGCCTTCCTTTCGTCCATGTTATGAGATGTTTCACAGATTCATCGTTGTTCTTTATCGTTGTGTAGTATTCCATTGTGTGAATATACCATAATTTGTTTATCCATTCATCCGTTGATGGACTCCTACGTTGTTTCCATTGTTTTGCTATTGTGAACAGTGCTGCAGTGAACATGGGTGTGCCTATATCTATTCATGTGACAGCTCTTAGTTCTCTAGGTTATATTCCAAGGAGTGGGATTGCTGGATTGTATGGTACTTCTATTTCTAGCTTTTTAAGAAAGCGCCAAATTGATTTCCAAAGTGGTTGTACCATTTTATATTCCCACGAATGGTGTGTAAGTGTTCCAGTCTCTCCACAACCTCTCCAACATTTATTATTTTGTGTTTTTTGGATTAATGCTAGCCTTGTTGGGGTGAGATGGTATCTCACTGTAGTTTTGACTTGCATTTCTCTAATTGGTAATGATCGTGAGCATTTCCTCATGTGTCTGTTTTAATTGGGTTGTCTTTGTTGTTGAGGTTTTGCAGTATTTTGTAGATTTTAGAGATTAGACACTGATTGGATTTATTGTAGCCAAAATTTTTTTCCCAGTCTGTAGGTTGTCTTTTGACTCTTTTGGTGAAGTCTTTTGATAAGCTAAGTGTTTGATTTTTAAGAGCTCCCACTTATCTAGTTTCTCTTCTGGTGTTTGTGCATTGTTACTTATGGTTCGTACTGTGTTTATGCCATGTATTAGGACTCCTAGCATTGCCCTTATTTTTTCTTCCATGATCTTTATTGTTTTCCATTTTATATTTAGGTGTTTGATCCATTTTGAGTTAGTTCTTGTGCATGGTGTGAGGTATGGATCTTGTTTCATTTTTTTGCAGACAGGTATCCAGTTATGCCAGCACCATTTGTCTTTTCCCCAATTAACGGACTTTGGGCTTTTGTCAAATATCAGCTGCTCATAGGTGGATGAATTTATGTCTGGATTCTCAGTTCTGTTCCAGTGGTCTGTGTATATGATGTTGTACCAGTACCAGGCTGTTTTGACTACCATGGCAGTATAATAGGTTCTAAAATCAGGTATCGCGAGGCCTCCCACTTTGTTCTTCTTCACTAATGCTTTACTTATCTGAGGCCTCTTCCCTTTCCATATGAAGTTGGTGATTTGTTTCTCCATCTCCTTAAAAAATGCTGTTGGAGTTTGGATCAGGATTGCATTGTATCTGTAGATCACTTTGAGTAGAATAGACATTTCACAGTGTTGAGTCTTCCTATCCATGAGCAACGTGTGTTTTTCCACTTACGTAGGTCTCCTTTGGTTTCTTGCAGTAGTGTCTTGTAGTTTTCTTTGTACAGATCTTTTATGTCTCTGGTTAGATTTATTCCTAAGTATTTTATCTTCTTATGGGCTATTGTAAATGGCATTGATTTGCTGATTTCCTCTTCAAATTTCTCTTTCTTGGCGTATAGGAATCCAGCTGATTTTTGTATGTTTATCTTGTATCTTGATACTTTGCTGAACTCTTCTATTATTTCCTGTAGTTTTCTTATGGATTTTTGGGGTTTTCTGTATATAAAATCATATCATCTGCAAATAGAGATACTTTTACTTCTTCCTTACCCATTTGGATGCCCTTTATTTCTTTTTCTACCCTGATTGCTCTGGATAGGACCTCCAGCACAGTGTTGAATAAGAGTAGTGATAAAGGGCATCCTTGTCTGGTTCCTGTTCTCAAAAGGAATACTTACAGACTCTCTCCATTTAGGGTGATGCTGGCTGTTGGCTTTGTATAAATGCCCTTAATTATTTTGAGGAATTTGCCTTCTATTCCTGTTTTGCTGAGAGTTTTTATCATGAATAGGTGTTGGACTTTGTCAAATGCCTTTTTTGCATCAATTGATAAAATAAAGTGATTCTTGTCTTTTATATGTAATGGATTACATTTATTATTTTTCTAATATTGAACCATCCCTGCATACCTGGCATGACTCCCACTTGGTCATGGTGAATTTTTTTTTTGATACATTGTTGTATTCTATTGGCAAGAATTTTGTTGATGATTTTTGTATCTATGTTCATGAGGGATATTGGTCTGTAATTTTCATTTTTTGTTATGTCTTTACCTGGTTTTGGTATCAGGGTTATTCTGGCTTCATAGAATGGGTTTGAGAGTATTCCATCCTTTTTTGTACTCTGAAATACCTTTAGTAGTAGTGGTGTTAACTCTTCTCTGACAGGTTGGTAGAATTCTCCAGTGAAACCGTCAGGGCCAGGGCTTTTTTTGTTGGGAGTTTTCTAACTACCTTTTCTATCTCTTCTTTTGTTATAGGTTTATTTAGTTCTCCCTCTGTTTGTGTTAGTTTCGGTAGGTACTGTGTTTTCAAATTTGTTACAGTACAATTTTTCATAGTATTCTGTTATAATTCTTTTACTTTCAGTTGAATTTGTTGTGATATCACCCATCTCATTTCTTATTTGGGTTATTTGCTTCCTATCCTGTTTTTCTTTTGTCAGTTTGGCCAGTGGTTTATCAATTTTCTTGATCTTTTCAAAGAACCAGATTTTGGTTTTATTAACTCTTCCAGTTGTTTTTCTAGTCTCTTTCATTTAATTCTGCTCTAATTTTTATTGTTTGCTTTCTTCTGGTGCCCAAGGCCTTATTCTGCTGTTCTCTTTCTATTTGTTCGAGTTGTAGAGTTAATGTTTTGATTTTGGCTCCTTCTTTTTGGTTGTGTATATTTATTGCTATAAGTTGATCTCTGAGTACTGCTTTTGCTGTGTCCCAAAGGTTCTGGTAGGATGTGTTTTCATTCTTATTTGATTCTGTGAATTTCTTTATTCCATCCTTAATTTCTTCTATAACCCAATAGTTTTTGAGCAAGGTGTTGTTCAGTTTCCATGTGTTTGATTTTTTCCCTTGCTTTTTCTGTTATTGATTTCTACTTTTATGGCTTTATGGTCAGAAAAGATGTTTTGTAGTATTTTGATGCTTTGGATTCTCTTAAGGCTTGCTTTATGGCCTAATATGTGGTCTGTTCTGGAGAACGTTCCATGTGCATTAGAAAAGAAAGTATACTTGTTTGCTCTTGGGTGGAGTGTTCTGTATAGGTCTGTGAGACCCATTTGGTTCATTGTGGCATTTAGATCTTCCTTGTCTTGAGCTTCTTTCTGGATGTTCTGACCTTCAGCAAAAGTGGTGTGTTGAAGTCTCCTACTGTTATTGTGGAGCTATCTCTTTCTTTCAATGCTGTTAGAGTTTGTTTTATGTATTTTGGAGCCTTGTCACTGGGTGCGTATATATTTATTATGGTTATATCCTCCTAGTGTATCGACCCTTTAATCATTATATAGTATCCTTCCTTATCCTTTGTGGTGGATTTTACTTTAATATTGCCACTCCTTCTCTTTTTTGATTGTTTGCTTGCTACGTTTTTTCCATCCTTTGAGTTTTAGTTTATGTCTTTAAGTCTAAGGTGTGTCTTTTGTAGGCAGCATATAGATGGATCTTATTTTTTTATTCATTCTGCCACTCTCTGTCTCTTTATTGGTGCATTTAGTCCATTTACATTCCACGTGATTATTGATAGGTATGAGTTTAGTGCTGTCATTTTGATTTTTTTTTGTGTTGTTGACAGTTTCTTTGTTCCACTTAATTTTTGAGTCATTTTTCTTTATGTATTTTCATCTTTTTCATTGTTGTTGATGTTGTATTTGCAGAGTCTTTATGTTTTTCTTGTTTTTTGTTTTGATATGTAGGA